TCTTGCAAGTGAGAGGACCTGGGTTCGATTCTCAGCAAGGCGAAATATTGGGCAAGATTCCTTACTCCACACTCCTCTGTTTACATAGCAGTAAGTAAGAACCCGGTTGTTAGTTGATTGGCAGATCGCATTTCTGGGGATAATAACACCTTCAAAATAATGATAATAATTTGGTCACTTAAACCATGACTGTTTGTGGGACACTGCTGTGCGCAATTGGTTGCCACATTTCGCCCACAAAACATACAGTCACTACACTTTACTGTATATTCTGTGAACTGCTTTGAGACATCTAGAAGATGTGATAAGTCGCTGTATAAAATGCAAGGATTATTATTTATTATAAAGCCCTAGTGGGTGGGGAGGTCCTAACCGGGCAAGCAACAACAACCACAACAACAACAAATTACATTTGCACAGGATCTTTCATATTGGGAGAACATTCAAAGGTGCTGGACAGTCAGAGATTTGGATCCAAGCAGGGGTAGGGATCAGGAGGGGTGGCGGGCAGGGATGGTAGGGGTAGGAGGCTGAGCGAAGGTGTGGTCAAAGAGGACAGTCTTGAGATGTGCCTTGAAGGAGGCAATGAGAGTCAGCATGGGTTTATGAAGGGTAGGTCATGTCTGACTGACCTAGTTGAATTTTTTGAGGAGGTCACTAAAATGGAGGATAAGAGAGTGTCTATGGATATCATTTATATGGACTTTCAGAAGGCATTTGATAAAGTTCCACACAAAAGATTATTAGCGAAAATGGAAGCGTATGGAGTCAGAGGTAACCTTGTGACATGGCTTGGTAATTGGTTGGAAGACAGGAAACAGAAAGTATGGATAAAGGGAACGTTCTCTGATTGCAGGACGTGACAAGTGGTGTCCCCCAGGGGTCTGTACTGGGACCTCAACTATTCACCATATGTATAAATAACTTGGATGAAGGAATACAAAGTTTTATATCCAAGTTTGCAGATGACACCAAAGTAGCAAATTGTGCAGATGGGAGTAGGAAGTCACAAAGGGACTTCGACAGATTAAGTGAGTGGGCAAAGCTGTGGCAGATGGAGTTCAATGTAGGGAAATGCAAGGTCATCTACTTGGACTGAAAAAAGATTAAGCATATTTTCTTAATGAGGAAAAATTAAGAACTGTGGCGGAGCGAGGTAATTTGGGTCTTCATATCCACAAATCACTAACAACTAGTTCCCACATCAAAAAGTAATCAAAAAGTTAAATGAAATGTTTGCCTTTATCTCAAGCGGCCTGGAAAATAAAGGGGAATAAATGATGCTTCAGCTGTGCAGAGCGTTAGTCAGACCCCATCTGGAGTACTGTGTTCAGTTTTGGGCACCATACCTCAGGAAAGATATATTAGCCCTGGAGGCGGTGCAGCGCAGGTTCACCAGAATGGCACCAGGCCTAAAAAGGTTAAGTTACAAGGAAAGTCTGCGTAAACTTGGATTGTATTTCCTTGAGTTTAGAAGGTTGAGGGGGGAAATGATTGAGGTATTTAAGATGATAAAGGGATTTGATAGGGAAGATACAGAGAAGCTATGTTCTCTGGTGGGGGAATCCAAAACAAGGGGCATAGTCTTAAAATTAGAACCAGGCCATTTAAGAGTGAAATCAGGAAGGGATTTTTTTCACTCAAAAGGTGGTAGAAATCTGGAATTCTCTCCCCCCAAAACCCATGGATGCTGGATTCATCCACACCTTCAAGAGTGAGGTTGACAGATTTTTGTTAGGTCAGGGTATTAAGGGATATTGGGAGAAACCTGGAAATTGGAATTGAAAAGTTTAGTTGAGGTACAGATAAGCCATGATCTAATTAAATGGTGGAACAGGCTCGAAGGGCTAAATGGCCTACTCCTGTTCCTATGACGCAATATGTGGGACATAACAATATGTGGACCATAGCAATGAGTTTCTATGCGTGTCAGACACCCGGCTGACCAAAAAAAGGTGTTAGAAAATGGCAATAGTTCAGGGCAATTTTATTTTGCTTTACGTGATGATTTTGCTAACAGTAGTGTGTGATCATTGCCAACTATGTTGGAGGACTGTAATTCACTGTATGGTTTGGGCTACTGTAGTCCTACTTAAATGGAATGTTCCTCCAGGGGCCATGTACTTTGAGAAGACTACGTTTTGTTTTGTTTGCTCAGTTGCTGCCAAACATAGCAAAAAAGAATGTTGGCAGGGAATGAGTAAAAGAAAAATATATGCTCGCATCTGCCTTAAAAGTGGTTGCAGACTGGACACACCATCACCACTACATAATAATAATAATAATCTTAGCATTTGATATAGTGCCTTGTCACGTATTTGAGACGTCTCAAAGCGTTTCACGGAATATACTGCAAATTGAATTGAATGTATATCTTGTGGGCAAAACGCAGCAGCCAATTGCACACAGCAGTGTCCCACAAACAGTCGTGGATTGAAGTGACCAATTTATTTATTATTTTAAGGAAATATTACGCCTGGTAAAGCGATCCGCCAATCGATTAACAACCGCTTCCTACTTATTGCTAGGTAAACAGAAGCGTGTGGAGCAAGGAAACTTGCTCAATATTTTGCCCTGCCTAGGAATCGAACTTAGGTCCTCTCGCTTGCGAGGCGATTGCGCTAACCATTAAATTATAGGACTCCACTAGTGGGAAAAGTGAAATGAAAATATTAAACCTGCTCATCATTAACAGGAACACTGACTGATGTGGTATTATGTGAAACAACAAGATGATTAGGGAGCATTATGGAAGCGCATAAAGGCCAGTCGTCGGTTGTGCCTATTGTGTACACACAAGCACTGCACCTATTGGTTTAAAATAATGGGTACATTGTAAAACTGTGAGCATTGCCAAAGTATACAACAAGTTCGCCTGATTCATTCAAAGCTTACCCTTGCAAACAGCAGTGACAAATAAAAGATAAGTGCAAATTACATGCATGGAGCTAATGGGAGCCTGAGAGTAGAGCAGGGCAGAAGGACAGAAGCTAATTGAAAGGTTCAGATGATGTTCCAAGCTCACAGAAAATAGTTTCTAAATGGTTTTGAAACCACAAGGTTCCAGCTTATAAATTGTTTATAAATTGTCCTCTCCCGCACTAGGCTCCGCGACCCTATCACCCCCATCCTTGCCCAACTCCACTGGCTTCCCATCACACAGAGAATACAGTTCAAGTTCCTGGTCCTCACCTTCAAAGCCCTCCACGGTCTTGCTCCTATTTCTCTGACCTCCTACCACCCTGTTCGCTCCCTCCGTTCAGCGGGCACCGGCCTGCTTCACGTCCCCGGCCTCGCTCGCCCCATTATCGGTGGGCTGGCCTTCCGCCACTCTGCACCCACGCTTGAGAACTCCATCCCACAGACCCTCCATCTCGCCTCCTCACTCGCCACCTTCAAGACCCACCTCAAACCCTCCTCTTCGACCGTGCTTTCGATCCCCCACTTACCCCCTGCCCCCACTCCCCCCAACCCGATCATCAGGTCCGTAACCTGTCTATCCAGCGCCTTGGGACGTCTTCCTGACATGAAAGACGCTAAACAAATGTAACTTTGTTGTTGTTCTAACATATACACAAGTGCTGAACTGACTGGTGACCTATGTTAAGGCAAGATTTCTATACCATGTTTAACCCATGTTAAAGCTAAGGTAGTCCATTCTTTCCATATGCAGTACAGCACAGTATTATATCTCATGTGCAGAAAACATGTACTGTACAATGAAGGCACAACCAACCAGGTTTCAAAACTGAACTATTTTACTACAATGTGAACTCTTACAAAGAACTACAGTATTAACACTGTAACTGAATTATCAATCACTTTGTAAGAAAATATTAAGTCAGACATAAACCCTTAATTCACCCTTAATTCCCGCATTCAAAGTCTGTGGCTTCAAATCAAATTTAGAGGCAACGTCCTTCTTTTTCATTTCAGGATTTGTCTCACAAAATTGTAGAATCTGGTACTTTTCCAATGCCTTGGGACGTCCTCCCAAAGTGAAAGACGCTAAACAAATGTAATTTTGATGTTATTGTTGTTGTTCTTCTCCTGATAGGTCCTTGTCATTAATTTGCATTTAATTGGGCCATTTGCATTGCCTGATGCCATTATGGCTGGTCATCTGTACTTGTTCATTGTTCTGTGCAGTGGAGTCCTGAGGGCATTGGTTAGAGCATTCGCCTCGCAAGCGAGAGGATCTGGGTTTAATTCCCGGGCAGGGCGGGACGAAACGTTAGGCAAGTTTCCTTACTCCACACACCTCTATTTACCCAATAGTAAGTAGGAACCCGGTTGTTAGTTGATTGGCAGATCACTTTTCTGGAGTATTAACCTTATATACAGTCAATTTGGCTGTGATGTTTCACAGTGTATTCTGTTAAGTGCTTTGAGATGCCAATCAACTAACAACCGGGTTCCTACTTACTGCTAGGGAAACAGGCATGTGGAGTAACGAAACTTGCTTAAGGTTTCATCCCACTCGGGAATCGAACCACTCAGGTCCTCTTGCCTGCGAGGCGAGTGCTATAACCACTATGCTACATGATTGCCCCCATTTGTTATACGTAGTCACACAGCATGTCAAGCCAACAGACCATTCAGCCCAACAACAATAACTTTTATACAGCTTTACAAGCTTCCAAAACTCTATTATTTCTGAACGCGAATTTCACAATGATCTGAGTGAGATTTGAACCCGGGACCTCTATGCTGCTAATCCTCCTGTCAGGCACAAAATGGCTCAAGATCAGCAGCAAGGATTGTTGCAAGTGGATTGACCGTATATTTTGTTGGCAAAAAGCAGCAGCCAATTGCCCACAGCAGTGACCCACAAACAGTCGTGGATTGTGTCCAAATTATTATTTTCTTTTTTAATTTTTTGAAGGGATTATTACCCCCGGAAAAACAATCCACCAATTGATCGCCTAATAACCGGGTTCGTACTTACTGCTAGGTCAACAGAGGCGTGTGTGTAGAGTAAGGAAACTTGCCCAACATTTCGCCCTGCCTGGGAATCGAACCCAGATCCGCTCGCTTCTGAGGCGAGTGCTCTAAGCACTGAGCTGCAGGACTCCACAAGTAAAGTAAAGGAATACTGAATTCCAGTTGGAATAAGAGCGTAAACACATTGCTACCCAGTGCCTGGGCCAGGATGCCAGTCACATAAGCAGTGACTTAATATCACAGCAGCCAGCTGGTGGGCAGCTTGTTTGCTTATGATGTGGGGGCCACCACACAGCAGTGTGAAGAGAGGTGCTTTCAGCGGGCTGGTGAGTGATGGATTGGCTAAGCGTGGATTCCCAGCACTGCGGAACCTACGCAGAAACAAACGGCAACACATGAAGTAAGAGCAGCCTGTCAGACCTCCCCTCCAGTGCTCGAGGCCTGTCAGAGAGCTGGTGATGTGCCCTCGCATGGCATGATGTCATACCAGCCTGCTCCGTGACTGTGTAGTTCCCTTGTCGGGCTGGGAGGAGACAGACGTCTGATACTGAGTGGTCGAATCAGGCCAGTGTTTGTAAGGAATTGGCCAGGGTCCTTGGGAGGAATCTTTGTGAATGTTGATCCAACACCTTATTAACAAATCCTTTTCTTTTTATTCCACGCGCAGCAGCCCCAGGACCAGCAATAAGATGACGCAGGGTTTTAGTCACTTGGCTCCCGAGACTTTCCCTGCACACTTACTCTAGCTCTGTTCCAATCCACGTTTCTTTGTTTCCAATTTCCAGTTTTGAACTGCAGCCTTGAAATCTAACAAGGATTTGTTAAAGGATTTGTTAAAGGCAAATTTTGTCTAACAAATCTAATAGAATTTTTCGATGAGGTAACGGATAAAGGTAATGCAGTTGATGTCGTTTATATGGACTTTCAAAAGGCATTTGACAAAGTGCCACATGAAAGACTTGTAAGAAAGATAGAAGCCCATGGTATAACAGGGACAGTGGCAGTATGGATCCAGAACTGTCTGGGAGACAGAAAGCAGAGAGTTGTGGTGAACGGCTGCTTTTCTGACTGGAGAGAAGTGTACAGTGGTGTCCCCCAGGGATAGGTATTAGGATCACTGCTCTTCTTAATATACATAAATGATCTGGACTTGGGTATAGCAAGTACCATTTCCAAGTTTGCGGACGACAGGGTGGTAAACAGTGAAAAGGATAGGAGCCAACTGCAGGAAGACATAGACAAAATGGGCAGACACATGGCAGATGAGTTTCAATGTAGAAAAATGCGAAGTAATGCATTTTGGTAGAAAGAATGAGGGGAGGAAATACAGGCTGGTAATACAATCTTAAAGGGGGTAAAAGAACAGAGAGACCTGGGGGTGCAGGTAACTGAATCCTTGAAGGTGGCAGGACAGGTAGATAAAGCTGTAAAAAGGGCAATTGGGATTCTAGGCTTTCTAAATAGGGGCATAGAGTACAAGAGTCAGGAGGTTATGATTAATCTCTATAAAACACTGGTTCAGCCTCAGTTAGAATACTGTGCCCAGTTCTGGGCACCACACTATAGGAAGGATGTTAGGGCATTGGAAAGGGTGCAGAGGAGATTTACGAGGATGGTACCAGGAATGAGGGACCTTGATGATGAGGAAAGGCTAGAGAGGCGAGGATTATTGGAGTAGAGAAGGTTACGAGGAGACCTAATAGAGTTCTTCAAAATCATGAGGGGATTTAATAGGTTAGAAAGGGAAAAATTGTTTCCACTGGTGGGTGTGTCGGTAACTCGAGGTCACAGATTCAAAATTGTTTCTAAAAGAAGCAGAGGGGAGGTGAGAAGACATTTATTCACGCAGCAATGTCCCACAAACAGTCGTAGATTGAAAATGACCAATTTATTATTGTTTTTGGTTTTGGAGGGATTATTATTAGGCGTGTGGATAGGTCTCCTCGTAACCTTCTCTGCTCCAATGAGAATAATCCTCGCCTTGCTAGCCTTTCCTCATAATCAAGGTCCGTCATTCCTGGTACCATCCTCGTAAATCTCCTCTTATGGGGAAAGGGCTGGGGAGTGGGACTGACATTACATTGCTATATTCAAAGAGCCGGCACAAACTCGATGGGCCGAATGGCCTCTTTTTGTGCTGTACGATTCTATGATTGGTATCAAGTCCTGGTATCAAGTGAGATACAGTTAGGCTGACACTCCAGTGCAGCCCTGGGGGGAGTGCTGCATTGTCAAATATCCGACCTTCAGATGAGATGTTAAAGTGAAGACTTGTAAATGCCTGTTAAGGTGGATGTTACAATAATAATAACAATATTTGATTTACCATCTTATTACATCTTTGAGACATCTCAAGCGCTTCACAGGATATACTGTAAGATGTAGAGACTGTGTATTTTATGGGAGAAATATGGTAACCAGTTTGTGCCCAGCAACAACAACAACAACTTGCATTTATATAGTGCTCTCACTTGGAGTAGCATGTCGGAGCGACTGATAACAGGAGAGTTTGACATCGAGCTGGGGAGGTGACTGTGGGCACAGACAAAACGATCCGCCAATCGACTAACAATCAAGTTCCTACTTATTGCTGGGTAAACAGAGGTGGGTGAGGAGTAAGGAAACTTGCCTAAGGTTTCACCCCGCCAGGTAATTAAACCCGGATCCTCTCGCTTGCGAGGCAAGTGCTCTAACCACTGTTACTAGTCTCCATTGTAAACATCCGGTGTAAAATAATTGCACAGTGAACAGCGCGTGCTGTGAATAATGGGAAGTAAACCTTTGAGTGCTTAATAGTCAGTAATTGCTTATAATGTGGCTCTAAAAGCTCGGCTCAACTTTGTTTACAAACGTGGAAAGTATTTGTTCAGTAAAAAATAATTGAGGGTTTTATAGGGAGGCTAATCCTTTGGTTCAGAATGGAATGAGGATTAGTCAGCCCTGATCTTTAGCTAACTGCGTCGGTTAATCGTGAAGACCTGTAACGTATTCCAAGGGTAATAATCTCTTCCAAATAAATAAATAAATGAATAAATAATAATTTAGTCACTCAATCCTCCGCTCGACTGGTACCGGCCTCCTGCTCGTCCCTTGCACCCTCCGCTCTACCATCGAAGGTCTCTCTTTAGTCACTATGCCCCGAAACTCTGGAACACTCTCTCTCAATCCCTCCTCCGCCTTGCCCCCTCTCTCCCCTTTTTCAAGTCCTCTTCGACCATGCTTACAGCCACCTCCCCACCAACCCAAACCCCGCCCACACCCCCAGCTTGGAGTCAGGCCCTGACAGTGTTAAGCGCTCTGAGACGCTGCCCTGCGCGAAGGGCGCTATATAAGTGCAAGTTGTTGTCGACGTTGGACACTGCTGTTTGTGTTTCGCCCACAAAATATACAATCAATTAGGTAAACAGGATGTGTCGCTCCAGGGAGAGAAGGCGCATTCCATTCGAACAATCTATCTCTGGGATTTCCATGTGTAAGTGGGATGCATGGAAACCTCAGCTTGGTTTGGATATTCTTTAGCACCGTGATGGGTTTCCGATTGTTTCAGACACCCGACTGAGCAAAATAAATAGCCAAAGAATCTCACAAGCCTTTTACACTAGCCTTTTAGTGTTAACAAAGTCAGGTTTGACCTGCTCTGTCATGTGTAGGCTGACACCTGTACAGTAACTGATTCAACATCTGAGGAATAAACATCAGAGGCCACAGATTGAAGGTAATCACCAAAAGATCAAAGAAGGCAGAGGTTAAGGGGGGAATGTGTGGTTCACACGTTGAGGCTTGTTTGGAAGTGGAACGCCTGACCTATAACTGTGGTTGAGGCAGAATGTGGATTGGCTTTAAAGGGGGAATTAGATAAATATCCGAAAAGGAGAAATATATACAGTGTGGGGGCGGGGGTTCCCAATATTCTGTTAATTTAGCAAGTTCCTGGGCAACAATCCCCGCATAAAATCACTCCATGGCTGTTTGTGGGATGTTGCTGTGTGCACCTTGGCTGCCGCTATTCACATACAAATACACAGTCACTCCGCTGTACAGAAAATGCCTTGTCTTTCCAACATGAAAGGCCCTGTATCGTATGTCTGTGTGTGTCCATGAATGTGTGTGTGTGCGTGCGTATATGTGTTTGTATGTATTCATGGGTCTATGTATGTGTGTTTGTCTGTGTGTCTATGTATGTGTGTGTATCTGTGTCTGTGAATGTGAGTATGTGTATGGGTCTATGAGTATGAATGATTATATGTGCTTGTCTGTGTATGTGAGCGTATCTATCCGTGTGCACGTGTAATGTGTGTGTGTCCATCTGTCTGTGTGTGTATCTGGCTGTGTGTTTGTATGTATCTGTGAATGTGAGTGTGTCTGTCTTTTATGTTTGTTTGTATATATGTGTATGCACTCATACACTTTCTGAATTATGTTTTCACCCCAATCCTCAGCCACTTTTCCAGATGATAATTTGGCAGTAATGATGTTAGCCAGGAGCTATGTGAGCACATCTGTGTATATGTGTTCTAACATTTAAAAGATAAGTCTTTTTCTCCCTTCTTCCTTCACAAAGCCATATAACACCGGCCTCAGTCTGGGCACAAAGTGAATGTTACTACACATACACTGTGTTAATACAACAATTTGCATTTTTAATTGTCTTAATAATAATTTTTGCATTTGATACAGCTCCCTGTCACGTTTTTGAGACGTCTCAAAGCGCTTCACAGAATATAATGTAAAGTGAATTGACTGTGTATTTTGTGGGTGAAATATGGCAGCCAATTGCGCACAGCAGTGTCCCACAAACAGTCGTGGATTGAGAACCAAATTATTTTTTAAGGGATTGCTGCTAGGTAAACGGAAGCTTGTGGAGTAAGAAATCTTTCCCAACGTTTCATACTGCCCGGGAAACGAACTCTTGCGAGGTGAGTGCTCTAACCACTAAGCTACAGACTTCCCAGTCTTAATATACAACTTGCGACAGACACACGTACACACATGTTCATACACACAAACACACAGTCAGAGAGGGACTCATGCAGATACAGCACATACAAACATACACAGACTCATACACATACAGAATGACACACACACACACAGAGGCACACACAGATACAAATACATATACACAGAC